ATAATTATAACAAGTATGTCCACATCAAAGTAAGTCGAAACTAATGTAATTATAGCACTTATGTCCCACAACAAAGTAAGTCGAAACTAATATAATTATAGCAAGTATGTCCCACATCAAAATAAGTCGAAACTAATATAATTATTACAAATATTTCCACATCAAAGCAAGTCGAAACTAATATAATTATAACAAGTATGTCCACATCAAAGTAAGTCGAAACTATTATAATTATAACAAGTACGTCCCACATCAAAGTAAGTCGAAACTAATATAATTATAACAAGTATGTCCCACATCAAAGTCAGTCGAGTAGAATAGTATTTTATGTAGTTCGTATAGACCTCGCTTTAAAGGAATTCAAGTAGAAGATAATTTTCGTTTGTATCAACCCTACATCAACCTTCGGCTGTCACGTGACACGTTTGATATTCTGCTGATATATCCTTTCAAACAGAAAAGCAGATTGACACGATTTGTTTGTTGAATATCTTGTTTTTTTCTATCTATACATTTTTAGATGTGATCAAACCTAAACGTCGAAGACTTCAAAGTTTTGCCGATATCCGAAAAAACGTTCCAAAGAGCACACCCCGTCGCCTGTCCCTATTTCCAAATACATGTGGAATTCTCGAGGAAGACAACGCTACACTCGATGTACCGGAGGTAACAAATCGAAATTTTCTCTGGGAAGTTCGAGACTTTCAAACGACGAGTGCACGGAACAATCAACAATCTCACATCAGTAGTGAGAGTAGCGATTTCCGAACGACTAACTCAATCGTTCGGAACTTATCTAAACTTCCTTGCTCGGAGAGAACAGCACAAACAGGAAACGTCATGGTTGAAGAAATTGGTCTACCGGGTGAAACGATGACCGAAGACGTGGTGGAATTATGGGAGGAAATGATGTACTTAAGTGATCTTAAATCGAAGCACACTGTGGAAAACGTTTCGACGAAACTCAGGCGTTACATGGAAGAAAAACACATGGCAAAGAAAGAAATGAAAGCGTTTTACGAGGAGTGGAAAAAACGAAGGATTTCATCTTTCAAACCTTTATCAATATATGCGGAAATCGACGCCGAAGAAAGTGGTAGTTTTTCTGGTGTCCAATATCGATTTCTTGATTGCGTTCCGGAGTTTGAGGATTTTCTCCTCGTATTAGAAGAAGATTCAAAATTTGATCCAAGGTTTAAAAGAGCAAAACAAATCAGTAGAAAAATCGCCAAGAGGTACAACATCGCAAAAGAGAATATCTCTGGTATAACGGGAGTTGAAACCGACCACAAGAAGACACACAAGGTGTCCTCGAGGTTAGCGCCGATTTCAGAGAAAGGTGCCCACCGAAAGAAAAGCTTCCGTTTCAGTGATAATAAACTTCGGAGTTCGTCAAAGACCCCTTCTGGCGCCCGTAGAGTTTCTATGCCCAGTAGAAGCAGTGTCACGAGTATTCATGGTAACGAGAAGATGGACAACGAGAGGACAGCTCACGAAGTTGGAGTTGTGACGGCTTCAAAGTCGTGCGAAAAGCATGTGCTTGAACAAAGTGGAAGAAGCAGCTCTCACAGAGGATCCGTGTGCAAAGGCTCAAAATTTGGCGAAAGTAAGAAAAGGAGAAACACACAAGAGGGAGTCTCTTCTATATACTTGACATCTCCTGCCGGGGCAAACTACATACTGTACCAGCCTCCTTCATCAAAGGTAGAAACAAAGAGGAGAGGAACAGTTCACGTAACCAATACATCCGGTCCAATAGCAGAAGTTGAGCTCGAGCAAGAACCACCAGAGAAAGCGGTGTACGGAACTGATCAGAATGATAAAGAACTGTTCTACTCCAGTGAAGAGGATAATGACGATACCATGGACTTTCAGAATTTGTTTGATTCTAGAAAACTGAACACGAAGTACAGCTTTGAGCGCTTGCGAGGGAAGAACTACCACAAGAAGAAACCGGCCTTTTTTGGTGTTCTTAAGAAATACTACAAGATGCAAAAAGTTGCCGATGCATTTGCGAGCCCCAAATCTAAACGCAAGTCTGTGTTTCAGCGTTTACTTGATAAAGACAAGACAAATGCTAACGTCCCAGATACAGAGATCATAGGAACGCTGAAGACCTACAACTTCCTGTACCACAGGCGCAGGACCAGGACGGAGGTAGAGGAGTGTGATTTTAGCAGCCTCTCTATGGACGAGTTCCGGACAAACCTCATCCGGGCACTCGATGACTTCGTCGTCAGAAAGGAGCGCGTGGTGTCAAACATTGGCGCGAAAAGTACAACTCATATTACTTTCACCAAACAGTCTATTTTTAATCACAGAGAATAAAGATCGCCATGTTAACGTTAAATGAAATTGTTACGTGATAATTCAAACACAATGTTACCATGATTTTAAGCAAGTATCAACCTGTCATTTCAAATTAAATTATCACAAATTACTTACAATTGAAACTTGGTGTTTTTTGTCAGGTTTTTGAAAATAACTTGACACCATTGGGTTATAACAGAATTGGTTACTCTTAGACCGGAAAATAAGATGGAAACCATAAACCCACTTTTATATTAGACGATTTAAGATCGTTTTCTCTTTTCTATCTTAATAAACATTGTATCTTTTAATTCTTAGATTTATTTCTATACAGTAACCTTCTCTCTGTAAGCAATTCTTTCTACGGAGTAACCTTCTCTGCACGGAATTCTTTCTATGGAGTAACCTTCTCTGTANTCTTTCTATGGAGTAACCGTCTCTGCACGGAATTCTTTCTATGGAGTAACCTTCTCTGTAAGGAATACTTTCTATGGAGTAACGTTCTTTGTAAGCAATTCTTTCTATGGAGTCACCCTATCTGTAAGAAACTCTTTCTAT